ATTTCCTCTGGAGGAATTATTTTGATGACGACCAATCTTATTCACTGGTGTCTAAATTCTTATAACCAGCAAAGATTTCATAAAGAATTAGAGCCTGGGCTAGTTGGACGCGAAAGTTGGCTGTATATCCGAAATATACTTGTCCCACTAATGCTATTTTATAGGTTTTATTCTGGCATAAGTGCTTATTCTTTGTATTACACGTTCAAGCCAAAGCTTTGAAAGGACTTTGATATTTAACATGTAAAGTGCAGGGTCTACATACTGAGCATGTTTCTAGATTTTTTTTTTTTTGTTTGCTTGTTTGCTTTGGTAGGATACTAACAAATACGTTAATGCTACAAAACATTTCGCCAGCTCTATGGTTATTATAACGACATTGTTTGCAAATAAAAAATGTCTTTGAGTCGAATTTTTACTGAAACTTTTCCCAACAATGTATTTGTTTCCGCATCAATCTGTCAACTGGTGAAAAGAGGATGCTTACCTCTCCTGTGCACCTGATGCCATCTTTTGTATTTTTAAGGGGTCGTTGTTTTGCCAGGTTCACAAAAACATTTTAAATATTGAAGAATTTTAAAATATTCTTTCCTGTAATTACAAATGTGATCACTGTTCGTGTTCTTTATCTTATTCACTACACATCTAAAATTTCGGGAAAAAAATCACTCATGTAGAAACGCTACCAAGTCGAATACTTCAGATTTCGACCTGTACTCGGCATTAATGGCTATTGGTCTTTTTCATGTCAGTACCTTCTGCGACAGGGGACTTCAATTTACAGGTAAATTTCGGTACATGTACCTCGAACACAGATATGTTTAATACCCCGGATATGTCCAAGTAAGACCTCGGTCCCGGCCGTATTTACCATATATTATAAAGCATTTAAAAAACCTCGGACACGGAAATCTCGAATACTTCAATTATCTCGAAGTTAATTTCAGGCCCGAAGCGCTATTTTAACGACTTTTGTCAAAGTCTGGTCCTTCTGCTAAACGTAACTGTTCGCCAGGTGCATGACCGTTCTTAATAGCTCTAATTAATCTCTCCGAGGTTGGTTGAATTTCACACCTTTCTAAACCAGGTAATCCTTTATAGATCGATAATTTCAGATGACTAAAACAACAAGTTTATTTATCAATTTATTTTTTTTTTAATTGACCCAAGTAATTTCGTTTATTAATGAAATGATAATTGTGTTTGCAGTCTGCTGACTTTTTATAAACAAATTCAGTCATCGCTTTACAATTTGATTGATTTTTTTCTTTAAAAAGAAAAACACCAAATTTCAAAGTTTAAGACAATGGCTTATATGAAGTTTAATTAAAAAAAAAAATAGATTTTTTTATCGTCGAATTACACCATGTCACAAGAGGTTAGTAGCAATCCACTGAAGGACCAGGTCTAAATCCCGGGGAGTAGTTGGATTATATCTATGGGTTGTAAATAAAATAACTAAACGATACACACAACTGAAACAAAGCTTCAAGCTCTCTCGGAAGTAAAATGGAAGATGCTGTCTAAAGACACCATTGCCAAGAATTACGGCATTCCAATCAAGGCATTATCAACATATTAAAAATGTATACGTTTATTTGATATCTCCTGTTAATATATAGTAATTCTAATGGTTTGTAATGTTACCCTTAAAGATTCATTTCTTGATAAAATAATTTGCATGAAATATTTCCTTAAATAGCAAATGCCACATCCTATTATAATATGTGTCAGAGAGAGAGAGAGAGAGAGAGAGAGAGAGAGAGAGAGTCTGCAGAAAAACGTTTTACATACCAAGAAAATATAAACAAATATTTCCTTCTTTCAAGGGTAACTTTGCAGACATACTCCTACTAACTGTGCAGTTTTGTCTAATTGTTTGAGCTATTCGAGAAAAGGGTGTATAGATTCATTTCACATAGATGTATTTATCTCTGATCTGTAATTAATAAAAAAAATAACAAACGGTTCCTTCCTAATACTTGTACAACAACTTGAAAAAAAAATCAAATTAATAAATTAATTCCTGTCTGCATTTTTTTTTTCAAGTGTTATTGACATTCGGATTTTTATTGTTATTTCCCAATAGGACAGTCACGGCATAGTGCAGTGGTTAGAGCGTTTGCTCTAGAGTTACGGACTAATGAGTTGATCCCTCCGTCGCGAGTTCGACTCTACAGTGTGACGCGGAGACAGGTCTTCGGATTAGACCGTATAAACCGAGGTTCCGTCTAGTAGTTATTTGACCCCTCACCGAACCCCATCGTACATTCCAAAAATAAAAACAAAACACTTCCTTGTCTCAAGAGTAATTTTGTAATCATTTGTACATTTTAAGTGCATACTTATCTCTGTGCATGCACTTAAACAAGAGCGAACCATCGTCCATCTTTATCTATAACATGTAGATAATATTTTCAAGAGATCATGTATATATGACTCACGTCTTTATAGTTTTTGAGTTTTTCTTTCTTTTTTTTTTTTTTTGTGTTTATGATTTATGTCAATCCGCTTTGTTACTTGTTCCAGCATTAATAAAACTATTACTGAACCTTTCTTTTAAGTGCATTTTAATACCATATTTTGAATATAATTACAAGATCATCTAAAGACTATGCTTAATGACGAGATAGTTTGTTTAAATTAAATCATAAAAAGTTTGTGAATAAAAATTGTTTTTGATTAATCAAAATTCATGCACATTTTAGCGAGTAATAAAGAACCTTAAAGATAACTTGGAAAAAAAAAAAAAAAAAAAAAAAAAAAACAGCATTAATTTTAGTTGTATCACAGTGCAAAACCTAAACAATGTTTTTATCGAAGTAACATCATAGTCTTAACTTCAAGCAATATGAAAAATGCACCAAAATTGATAAGTTAATGGCAATTGATCTGATAAAGGATTATTGACTATCTTACAATGTAAAAGAAACTCACTAATTCGACAACGGAATGTTCTGTCTACCCGATCAAGAGGACTCACGGGCGGGTATGTCCAGTCAAGGATGCTTATTCCTCCTAGGCACCTGATCCCACCTCTGGAATTTCCAGTGGTCCGTGTTTTATGCCCTGTTCACAGATTTTTATTGTTTATAAATTTTGTTGAGTTTTGAGTTTGATTAAGTACTGTTTGTTATATCCACCTTTTTTATCTATATGATAATAAATTCTCTAAATTTTATAGTCTTCCAGGGATTATCAGCATTTATATATTACCAATATCTTTAAGCATGCAAGAAGAGCCAGGAGAGGGGGCATATTAATCGTTGGAAACGGGCAGTAACTTTAAAGATAGACACAAGGATGAAGCAGAAGTTGAATTATAAAGGTCTCCTAAAGACCCATGAAATCCTCACGTATCTGAAGTAAAAAAAAAAAAAGCGGGGGAGAGAAGCTACATGCTCTGCTAGATTTAAGGAAGAGAACACCATCCATTTTTTTTAAAAGCTGGAGAATATGTAGTTCATTTCAAATTCCTGTAACAATTTTATAAATAACAGTCAAATAACGCAAGAAACAAAATGAACTGTATGATTAAAAAATTATATTTTTAGAATGCAAAATCAAAAGTTTGAAAGGCCTCAATGGCGTCGAACATGAAAAACAATGTCAACAGTTCTTCTAAATTCAATATATTAAATTTTAACATTGTAAACAACATGTAAAAAACCTGCTATTCACATCATTCGACGATATATATTGTTTAACGCCGAGTCGGCAATATTTCAGCCATATTTTGGCGGCCGCTAATTTAGAAATTAATCCGCAAAAACCCTCTTGTATGAAAATAAACAAAGTTTCTGTGGTTTGTATCAGATTTTATTTAGATATAATTGATGCAATTTTATTTTCAAGTTATTATTCATTGACAGCATTTTCAAACCTATTGATATTTTGCTATTTTCTTTTGCAGATGCATCGACTGACACCTTTGAGTGCGATAATTCCGGTGGGCATTTTAGATGGGATGCTCCCTAGTATAGCTTTCGAGCTCTGCTCGACGCCATAAAAAATATAAAATACATTGGCCTCAAACATAGAAACTCTCAGTTACTTAACAAATATTAACAGAAATTCACATTGATGATATCGATTTACTGATTTCGTTACAGTTGATTGTTTTGTTTTGTTTTTTTGTTTTGTTTTTGTTTTTGTTTGTTTTTTTTATTTTTAAAAAGATATCTTAAGATATTTAAATTAATTTACATCCTGCAAATGAGGATCCCCACCCAAAGTCACCAAAAAAATTCCATTATTCAAGGAACCATGTACCCTCACGTAGATTACATATCCCTCATTGACGTGCACCACGACGATCCCCATTCCACCAATGTCTGATCCAGAGGCTACACCTCAAGGAAAATTATTTCCAGTTCATCCAATTCACCATGGAAAGATTTTGATACCAACTCATGGAATTTTATAGTTCAAACAATTGGGTGTTTATTTCTGGATCAGTTATCAAAAAAGATGGATAAATAATTACACTGTAATATTCAATATTTTGTCACATCAAGTTTATATCTATTTAGACAGAGGCTATCAATAAATGATCCCTTTAGTTTTTCTGCTGAGTTTTGAAATTCTCAACATTAATTTAATCTGTAGAAATAAACACAGGAGAAGACTCCGCTTTCTTTAAGTTATTAAATTGAAGCAAACTGTGCACCTAGATTTGTGACCCTTCATTTCCTTATATTCTAAGACAGGAACAGTTTTACAATTTATTTCTATTTCATCTTTCTTGATGTAGCCTAATAATAATAATTCAATTAAACAAAATACATCTGTAACCACGGATTTTTAGTTCTAAAATAAACTTGTGTTGTACGGGAATGTTCGCACGGAAGTGAGTGACGCTTTTGGCGGAATTATTAAAGCGCTCTTTTTCAAAAGCTTTTTCCCAAAACACATTTATGTCCGAAGTAGCAAGGGATATACCTTCTGATATTTTTAAAGTTTTAAACAATGGACAACAAGCCTAACTTATAAAGAAAGGAATGGGGAAACACAGACGAAGGAGGCCGGAAATGCTTCTGGCCTCCAAACTTCCATATACAAATAAGGGAAGTATTTAGAAGAGTTCTCCTGAGTAACTGCATAGTCTGTGAAAAGCTTTTGTAAGATAGACATGATAGGAAGATGAATTATATTATTTCGTAATAATGCATTAAAAAATAGTTCATGTGTATTTTCTGTCTCTTTGCATTTTTCAGCAATTGTTAAGAAAATCTCACAATGCAATTACGTACATAAATCAGTTAGAATAAAGATTTGGAATTAATGTCAAGAAAAACAATTGATCTAAAGTAAAAATGAAACTCGGAATAAGATTAGTGAAATTAGTCAATTTTGAGCATTGAAAGAACAAAGAGAGTGATAGACTATCGTACTTTGTCAAATGAGATCTCTTCGCACAGAGAAATGAAAACGTGATTATATTTATCTCCTCCTATTTTGTAATGTTTAATGGGCTTTTGAGCTCGAATACTGTGCGTTATCTCCACATATTTCACTACTTACGCTACCGAATTGTTTCATTCTTGCACTTCATCTCCAGACATACATTCTGATTACCGTAAATGGTAAATGTACAATCTTTAAATCTGATATCTTTCCTCGTAGAGTTTCTAGTTATTTGGTTTTTAAAGTCATACATGTATGTAAACGTTTCATTAACCATTTTATCACATGTTGCCTCCTTTATATAGTGAAGGTCGTTGTTGTTGTTTTCATACCTTCAGTTCAATTGATTTTGCGTGAAAATGCTGAAGTCAAATAAAAATGATTCATATAAAAAAAGCAGTGAGGACGTAAAAAAAAAAGATAAAAAGAATCGCTAAGGGTCTGTGGATTGAAATGACAGGGGATGCTTACTCCTCCAAGGCAGCTAATCCAATTTTTAATGTTTTCAGAGGTGCATCTTTGCTCTCAATTTGTATTGTTGCAATGGACTTTCAGCCTGACTACTGTTCTTTATTTTCATATTTCATTTTATCCAATTCGTTTTACGTTTTCGGTTTTCAAGGTTCGGGGATAGAAAACACGCAATATAATAGATAAAGATCGTAATCAACCACATGGGAAATCCTCTAATCACCCGTGCTTTGAAATGAAATGTTAAAAGTTCGAAACAAGTACAGATATTCCTGAAAAAAAAACTTTTCAGTTGTAATTTAACTTTGTTCATTTTACTTAAACCAAATCCGTGAAAAAGCAATGAAATATTTCAAACATCAAATTTAAATTTAAAAAAAAAATCATTTTTCTGAAATCTAACCTACAATAATTAAAACTATTCAAAAGTTCTACTTTTCAAATTGAAAATTAAGTGAACAGGTCAAAATTCTGTGAGCTGCTAGAATAAGCCAAATTATTATTATTTTTTGGTTGTTGTCATTTTGAATTGTCAGTTTATTCGCAAGAAAATATAAATCACGTAGACTGGAAATAAAAATATTTATATTGCTTTCATTAGCACCGTTCTTAGATTTTTCTTTAAGGGATTATAATTCATACAAATCGTCTCATACATCTAAATTAGTTGGAAAATACAATAGAATTCTTTAACATATAGTAAAGCTCACAAAAGAGTTATCAAACTGAAGCATACATTTTTCCATTTGCAATCATTCTTGTCTTTATAATAAAACAATATGCACTTAATGATATAAAAATATCGCAAAAGTTTTTTTTTTTTTTTTTTTTTTTTTTTTTTTTTTTTTTTTTTTTTTTCCAGTATTGATCATAGATTGTTCCTTATAGGGAGTTTGGAGTTAGAGATTTCCTTTTCAAACCCTTGTATGTGGCTGGTATCTGTACATCAGATATTGACGGTTCCTGTGAAACATGTTAATACCGGATGTAGGGATTCAAATCAAGGACTTACACTACATCATCTAGGTTTCTTTACATTACTCATATATTATGGCTATACGTATTCTTGTTTTTATTACTGGAACTTTAACTTATGTTTCATGCACAAATGAGGGTAATTTCTGTTTTCAAAAATATATGATTTTAAAGAGCGTTATCAGAGTTCTGATATTTTTTGGAATTACATACAAAGATAAGTACATCTACGTTTGCAATTGTTTTAAATGTTATCAAGTAAAGGGTACAATATCTTTACAGTTTAAGAGTCTTGATTAAAAACGAAGTTAAATCATAGTACTCCGGATTGTTATGAAACTTTCCATTTAAAGAATGTTTTGAGTTTGGAATCCCATACAGAGGATCAATAAATACAACAATCTCAGGGAAACAATGTCAGAGATGGGACCGACAATACCCACATCAACATAACTTTTATTACTGGCCTGGTACTGATGAGAATTTCTGCAGAACGTTGGACGAAGACCTGCCTTGGTGTTACACTACAAATTCACAACTAAGATATGAGTTCTGCTATGTTCATATTTGTGGTGAGTCAGTCAATGAGTAAGTAGCATCTTTTGAGAAACACCTTTCTTTTAAAAACTGATCTTCATTTTGGTCTTATATATAAATTCCCTATTACGATGGTCATAGTGAGGTAGAGAAATATGACTGTCGATCAAAAAAATTGGTCTCGTACAAACTATAATACTTGTTTAAAAAATGTTTCAACGTTCTTATATCATTGTGAATGAATGATACTTCAAAAACAATCAACATAGAAAATATCAAATTATGATATATCTAACAATTGCTGAATTCTGCGTTCTCTCGAAAGAAACTTTAAGGGACATTACATGTAACTGTGAAAGTGATGGCAACCCTTTTCTTTTAGCAAAATCTTCAAAAGCATAGTAATACATATTAATGAACAATAAAATCATAAAGAGAAACCTAATAGCACTACGTTAGATAACCGGTTTTAGTGTAAAGAAACATATAACGGACAATTATAACAAAACATATTTATGTTCCTGCATTGAAGGTGAAAGTGTTTGGAATCATTGAATATTGTTGTGTTTAACTGGAATATAAAAGATGGCAATTCTCTCCTTTTTTTAACCTATATTCCAGATTTTACATTAAATCTATTACACAACATTGCAAATTTTAGAACATTATCTCTGCTTTAATGTAACTGCAATCTGTACATCTTGGTAGAATTTTTTTTCCTGAAATGGAAAAAGGAAGGAAATCAGCTTTTAAATTCATCATCAGGTACATAATGCTCCAAATTTTCCACTTTTTAGAAGAAGAAATGTTTTACAAAACAAACCCATAAAAATGACTTATAAAACACACCGATAAAAAAATCTTAAATACTGCATATTCCCCCTTTTTAATGGACCGATAAATACCTGAGTTTATAATTGATATACCGTTTTCAGGCAAATCAAATGAGACATGTAGATTGCCTGGGTCTTTATACACTGGGACCATGAACACGACGAAATCCGGACTTCCATGTCAGCGCTGGGATTGATAGTTTTAGTCATGCAGTAGAGAACTACTGTCGAAACTTTGATAGAGAGGAACCTTGGTGCTTCACGAATGATTCTTCAATTCGATTGGAATTGTGTGATGTGGAAGTATGCGGTTAGTTAAATCTAAAGCTTTATTCAAATCAACTTTAGTTACGCATGTAACCAATGATTGATTGATTATTGCTTAACACCGAGTCGGCAAAATTGTAGCCATATTGCTGTGACACAATGAAAGTGCGTGGTATGTGTATACGTAGCAATTGATAATTATGACAATTATTATCATTAATCAATCGATTATTTATGCATTACGTTTCTTACAAATGTGCATATTTATTGCAAAAGATGTACATGTTCATGTAGCACACTCCCTGCATAATTTCTGATGTACTTTTTATTTTATTATTCAAGTTAGTGATATTTAAGTAATTTGTTCTGTGTTTCAAATGTTATATGAAACTAAACCCAATTTTTTTTATTTCCAAAGCTTCACTCTACCATTAGGAGAATGTAAACTCAATGTCCTTATTATATCTTCCTGTTTTTCTTTGAGTTATACATTAAAACCTTATTTTTCAGATACACCTTGCCTCAACCCTAGTATTTATACACAACAACGAGTTCTTCAACATTGCATTAATCAAGTACATATCTTTCAGAACTGCAGGTATATTTAAGGAGTCACTGTCTGTTTTTTATTATTTTTTTATTATTATTATTTTTTTTTTTTTTTGGGGGGGGGGGGTATGCCAGGGAATCAACGATAGTTGGAATCGTGGGATAATTTGAATAACGGGTGAAGCTCTTTATGCAAAGCCCGTTATGCATTAATTATCCCACGTTTCTAACTGCATGTCGTTGTTATCTCTGGTACATCCAACAAACTGGACTGTAATTCCTTATATTTACATTTAGATCTGAAATAAAAATGTAATTATAAATAAAAAGCCATCTAACAGATTAAAAATACGCAAGGCATTACATGTCAATTTCCATACTCCCCGTCCACTGACGTCACTAAGACATCTGCGAGAAATTGACATGCATTTTAGACACTTGACCTTTCACGTGGCGAAATTTACATTCAGTCGTAAATATCGAGAAATCAACACACTAAGCTTTTTAAGAGAAATATATGGTGATAATGAACAATATTCGAACTCAAAAGTTTATTCAAACAATAAAAATCAGGAGAAGAGCAAACTCGGAATTCTAAACCATCAGAGGTGGGATCGAGTGCCATGGAGGAGTGCGCATCCCCATCCGACCGGTCACATCCGCCGCGTGCTCCTTGTCATGAGAGGGAATTAAAGGAAAATCCGTCGACAATTCAGTGTGTAAATAATGGCCTAACACTTTATATGAAAAGTGACAGTCAGAATTTGACTGAGTTTGACTTTGATGGATTGTATTTGCTGACAAGGTCATTGTGTCAACCATAGAATTCACGAAATGATGACTTTAAACGATACTGAGATAACACAGAAAAAAAAAACAGTTGGAAATACAAATATTAATTCATCAAAAAGATTTTTAAAAATATGTACAATTTGCTTAATCATCGTATTGTATTTTTGTACAAAAAAGTGTATTCTTACACAACAAATTACTTTCGTAACAATTGATCAGATTAACAATAGATTTATAAGGAAGTAAGGAAGTAATAATATGTAAATATTGTATCTCTCCTGATAATTACTGCAATATTCCTCTTTAGCGTAATACGTGGGATAATTAAAGAAATGGTGTTGTTTATAGCAACATAGGAAATACACAGATGTCTTGAATTCTTTTCTCTTTTTTGATTTGTTAGTTATTTAATTTGTTTGTTTGGTTGTTTTGGATATAGTGTAGCAAACAAAAATTACTTCATAATACAGATGTTCATTGCTGAAAAACAGCATTATTAAAATCATACAGCTTAAGATAGTTAATGATACAATCGAAGACATGATAATATTAATAGAATTTTAATTATTTTCTTTGACAGGAACAGCAGAGTCAATGTTAAAATTTGTTATTGGCTATATGTTTGCATTTGAAAAGAATGTTGTTAAAATAAAATAATTTCTTTCGTAAGAAACCGAAAATAAAATTGCACATAAATCATCAGAATCAAAACATGTCGGTGCATCTATAATTTTAAATCTCAGTTATTATGTCTTTTTTAATTTTCCTTCTTTTTCAGCCAGCTATGGGAATTTCTGACCTGCTTAAAGCAGCGAATTGAAAATATCACTTCTGCAAAATGTTCAGATATCCCTCGAAAAGCTATTGCTCTTGAGATGCAGGATGTGATAGAAAAAACTCTGGGCTGGAAAATTGACGGTTGTAAGTGGTAGATGTATATGATATGTATTTTGTGTCGCAAAAAATCATTGTACATATAAAAATACAAAAAACAAAGCAAAAGTTATACGCTTGTGAAAATTGTATTTTTTGTCATTTTATTCAGGTATAAAGTATCGCAGAATTTCATTTCAAACAAAAGATAGAAAGCTTATATTATCGGAGCACTTTGTTACGGAACAAGACTTTAGGCAAATATATTAATACAAACTACATGATATACAGATAATCTTAATTTTCAAAGGATAGCCTATAAACGCCTTAGCATTTTTGTCCAGCGAAGTCATTCTATGATAAATACTAGATTAATAACAAAACTACCTGAAAAAAAATGACATTCGTGAATTTAGACAGAGTAGTAAGAATACTGCTCAATGTGTTGAATAAATGAAAAGTTTCAGGGGTTGACGTTATGCATTTATACCTTAAAACTAAGGACTTCAAACTTAAAAATATATATATTTGGATAAACCGTCATTCAGTATCTCTTGCATTCGTTGCTAAAAAGGATCAAACAGCTTTCCTAGATTTTTGTTTTACAAATATATATCTTATGGCAATGCACTGCAGTATAAAATATTAATGTAGAAGAACTTTAGATTACGTTTAAGTTAGATTTGGTTTTTAAACACCAGTAGATGAAAGGATGGCATACAGGTACGTTGAAATTTCTCCAAGTTCAAGGAACCACAGAAAAGAAACGTAAGAATGTCGCCAGTGTGAAAGAAAAAAAAAGTCGAAAAAAGGCACCTTTTTCCGATAATGTCTAATAAATATCAAGTTTTGTTTTTTTTTAAATCTCATTTCATTCGTTTTATTTATTTTGGCAGGTGATTACACATTTATCATAGTCTTTATTTTTAAAAAAAAAAAAAAAATTATTATTGACAAATTGCATTATGGTCATCTAATGCCCTGTTCAAACGGAGAGTTTAATTCGAATTAAACGTAAGTTACTGCGAATTAAATTTGATCCGCGTTCACACGGAGAATTTAATGCGAATTAGTTTAATTCGAATTAGTTAGCATTAAATAACTTCGCATCAGCTCCGTGTGAACGCTAAGCGAAGCTAATTCGAATTAAATTTTGACACATGAGTAAGGGCAGAATTAAGTCACAGATCACATGCCGATGTCAAATATAGGTACTTGAGCTATTTTTGAGTGGAAAACAAAGGAAAATTATGTTAATCACTAAAATGTGTACAGACACTATGACATTATGTCAAATGTATCTGCTTTGCACAATATGACGTGATTTGTAAATGACTTCATAATAGTCTTACTGAATAGCTTTGTTGTAGAAATAAAATTATAATTCGCATAAGTTTACTTCGCATTGGCTGTCGTGTGAACGCAATTTAATTCGCATTAGTTTAATTCGAATCATTTTACTTTGCATTAATTTACTGTGAATTAAACACTCCGTGTGAACAGGGCATAAATGTGCACGTGACGTCACTGTTTTTTTGTTTTTGCTTTTTTTTTTACACCTTTATAAAAAAATTAATTTTATATGAAATAACTAAACTAAAATTTTAATATAAAGCTTTTTTAAATAAATATTCATTAATGAAGTTATTTTTTTTAAAGATTTATTTCATCTTATACGTTTATGTATTAAAAAAACAACACTTTTTTCACTAATTTACAGTTCAACTCCTCTATATATCGCATGATTATTGATTCATATCATACTCATTTAGAATTAAGATTTTTTACCAAAGTGAAACAGAGACATTATTTTTTTTTCTTTTCATCGTAAATATGTTTCAAAAGAAGAATATATTTGTGAATATGTAGAATATGTATGTACTGCAATTCCCTGCCAATTTGTCTTTACAGGTATTAATTCTGCGTGTAGTATGATACTTGGTGCAGAACGTGTGCAATCTAGAATCATTAATGATTTTGTGAAGCCTTGCAATGGACGATTCAATGTAGAAAAAGCAACAGATGAAGAAGAATTTTGCAGGTATATTAAAAGGGATATGTATGTGTTGCTAAACGTTGTGATAATTGTGGATTTCAACAATTCCTTATACTTGCGTTGTAAAAATAGGTACTAAAATTTTATCTGACTCATTAAAACCCTAAGGGATTTCCATGTATAAAGATAACAGAACATGATTCAAGTTTGTAAATAAAATGCCTTTTTTTAGCTTTTTTTGTTGCATTAACAAGTGAAACGTTTAATTATGTAATTATGCATGAAATATACATAAAAGACTAAGATAAATTTGAACGTTGATAATTACATTTTTTTTTTCTATTTAGACTGCTCAATTTCATAATTCCATTTTATCTGAAAATGAGATATTTTCTTACCTGTGACACATACGTTTGTCTGTTTGATTATGAATCGAGTTTATAAGAAGGCATTCCAACAATCCAGACTAGAGGATATAGAATCCATTCCAAAGCCTCTTCTTTAAATAATATGTATTTTTTTTATTTAAGTACTTAGGTGATTTCAATAGTAAAAGGAATTCTTATGCCCTCATGTATTTCCTTAGAATTCAATACAAAAAAATTAAAACATTACGATTGATTGATTGTTGTTTTACGTCCCATTCGAGAATTTTTCACTCATATAGAGACGTCACCATATACCGATGAAGGGCTTCAAATTTTGTCCTTTACTCGTCACTCAGGGCCATTGAACAGTGAGGGATCTTTATCGTAGGCCTGCCGTGACATGGGGCCTCGGTTTTTAAGGTCTCATCAGAAGGACCCGCAACTTTCACTTCAAAGTACCGAGCGAATGGCGAAGGAACAGTTTTGATCGACTTAGGTCAGTCGCGGCCGAGATTCGAACTCACGACCTCCCGATCACGCTACCCTGAACAGTATATAACATTACGAAATGATGGCATAAATATGATCTGGATCGAGATTTGTTTCTTCAGACAACTATGATTCATTTTAAATTACGCCTGCCAACTTAAGTACGAGGGAATTTATATGTTTGATAAAATTTGTTTTCCTGTCTGATTGTTGCTATATTGTAGTTGCTAGTTTTGAAATATATTTGAAAAAAAAGAATAAGTGCTTAAATGGGCACTTTTTGGCTGGTTTGATATGGTAAAACTACTGCAATTTTGAAACGCTATTATTATTATTTTTTATGTTGGGCGAAAAAATTGCTGAATATATAAATAAAATTTCATTACCAGTACATGTATGTTATCTTTCTTTTAAAAAATCAAAATTTTGAGTGTAAGATTTGAAATTACATTGAATACATATAAAATCTATTTTTACAATATTGACAAAATTGTGAGAATTGTTTGTCTTAGTTATTCGATATTTCTAATTCGTTTTTACTTAAATAGCGAAATCACCATATGCTCTAGAAATCCATGTGTTCCTTGAAATAGAGTTCGCTAACAAAGGAATTGACGCCGTAAACATCATTATTTTTTTAATCGCAAAAATATCCAGTCATGTACTCCAACATATTTCAAGTTGAAGTCCATCTTGTATTTCTTATAATTATTCACTGACGATTGCTTCCAAACGTTTTCATCAGTTACACGGAGGACCTAAAATCATTCTCACGATACCTGTAATCGAGCAGCATTATATACCCAAACTATGGTATCTTATTAGTGCAAATAGGTCACACAATATTCTACGCGCATAAATTGACATTTTGTTGATAATATATTTTGAATAAACTATTTTACTTAAAATACGAGGGCCGTTCAAAAATTACGCGGACTCTGCTATTATTTACTCTTACAGACGTCATATAGAATTAAAATTTCTCAGGAACATATTTCTTAAAAATTCCAATAAATTCTTGGTAAAAATTTTTGATTTTATTTAATATCTCTTAAAATTATTGCCGTTTTGATACTGCTGATGGTGATAAACGGAGCACGGCAAAAATGTTGAAAAACAAACATGCGGTATCCAAAATTTTATTCATTTATTTTCCATATTTCACGATATTATTCAACAATTTTCTCTAAAATTTCTTTTTATTGTTTTATTATTAAGTATTTAGATTTCTGGCGTAATAATTGAAGTATTAACAGAAATATTGTAATTTTTCTCCGATGTGACCCCTACGAAATCAACTACAAAAATGACGTCTCGTGATTTGACGGAGCAGTGCACTTTTATCAAATCATGTATCATGCTGCATGGGAAAACGCCAATAGAGACCCAGGATAATCCTATTGCAACATGTAGTAAACCAGCGGAATATCCGAAACATCTCTACAAAATGTAAAAAAAAAATCCAGAATTTCAAACTGATAGACCTTAGTCAAAAGGCAATACGTAAGGAATGGAAGAAGTTCATCGACAAACACTGATCTGGGCTGTTAAGAATTTGATTGAGATCGACTGATGTCAAATATCTGCAGTTTTGGGGTTTAACACAAACTAAAACACACAATGATAGTTTTATAGTTTTTAGGCTGAATCGGAAATGGTATATGGATGTTTATTCTGAGTGGATAAGGTAACCAAACTATACAGTATCAAATACTAAGGGGAAAATATTGAGAAAATGAAAGCTCCCATTTTTAGCTCACCTGAGCTGAAAGCTCAAGTGAGCTTTTCTGATCACCTGTTGTACGGCGTCCGTCCGTCTGTCTGTCTGTCCGTCCGTCTGTAAACTTTTCACATTTTCAACTTCTTCTCAAGAACCACTGGGCCAATTTTAACCAAAGTTGGTACAGAACATCCTTAAGTGAAGGGGAGTTTAAATTCTTAAAATGAAGGGCCAATCCCCCTTATAAGGGGAGATAATCAAGAAAAGACAAAAATAGGGTGGGGTCATTAAAAAATCTTCTTCTCAAGAACCACAGGGCCAGAAAAGCTGAAACTTATATGAAAGCATCCTTGGATAGTGAAAATTCTAAATTGTTCAAATCATGGCCCCAGGGGTTAGGGCGGGGCCACAATAGGGAATCAAAGTTTTACATTGAAATATATATGCAAAATCTTTGAAAATCTTCTCAAGAACCACTGGGCTAGA